CTCAAAAAAATAAAAATCAAGCTGATAAACTGATGTAGTTTTATAAACATGTATCAATAATGTGTCATATAGTAAAAACATCTGATAAACTTAAAATTCCTTTTTGCAACTTTTACCCAGTCTCATGTTCCTAGTTATTGTATCTATATAGATGCCACACTTAGCTTGAAGTGCCATTTTGTGTTTGTTGTGCCTTTAAGATGTATCATATACAGACTGCTGCTAAACTAATTGAATGTTAACTTTTTTCAGTTGAAACCTCTTAGTTGTGTAATATATAGGTCTACGTTCTAACACAACACTGCTATTCCTTTGCAATTAATATTTTTAAATTATTAAAATAAATGATTAAACCATTAATGAGGATTTTTGAAGACATTCTTTCTTTAGCTGAGAACTTTCATTCAAAGCTTAATTAGTAAGAAAAGAGGGACCATAAGTCACTGCAGATACATCACCACAAAAAATTGCTGTGGAAGAAATCAAAATCAGGCTAAGGCATCTGACACAAACAGCTTAACCTAGGATTAGGAAGAAAGGAAGATGTGTATGATCGATATAAAAACAAAAAGTGTTGAACTTTGAAATTAGGTGCCTAGTTAGTGTTAAAGATTCTGCTTGACAGACCCTGAACATAAAATTTCCCAGGCTTTAGAAGGGTCCTACTGAAGTGTTAATGCTGAAGTGCTGTAATGCTAGCTAGCAAAGACACTCTGGGTAGCTGCTTCTGTTGCTTTTATTCGGAAAAAGAAATTAACTTCTCTGGATGTTCCAAAACCAGAAAAATCCCACACAGCATTATTTTAATAGGAAAAGGTGAAGCAGCTTATTAAACATGAAGAAAAGCCTTTAATTTCATGACATAAAAAACCAGAGCGCTTTATTACAGGCCAGGATAACGGAACAGAATGACCTGTGATACTGACTCCAGTTCTTATCAAGTGAGGAACCTAGAAGACTATTTCTCAAAGGTGAATGATGTAATGGTTACCTTTCTTATCCATCCTCTCAGTTTAATTTATACACTTTATTCTTCTCATTTCTGATTTACCGCTACAAAAAGGATCCCCAAAATACACACTGTAAAAGACCAACATTTTAAGATAAATGCTGCATGTTTATCTTGTTAAGATATCAGTAGGATTACCCCAAATGCCAACAGTTTAATAATAAAAAATAGTAACGAAAAGAATTAAATATAGCTAGAAAAATCTCTAATACTAACACTACAACAACATTCAATAAACCAATACAAAATACAGTGAGTGTGGAAACAATTTTCAGAGAGAATAGAGATTATAACTTGTCTAGAAATCTAAGAATCTAGATTTCTAAGAACTTATGCAAAACAATGTGTTTTCCCACTGATAAACATTTCAAATTGTATCTTGGAAATTAATATCTGCGAAAATTCATTTTAATTGGTAAACTAAAAGGATATAGGGAGTATACGGATTTGGTATCTTAAATGTCTTTATTCTAGCAATACAAAGAGTGTAGGTCAACCTTAATGGGAAGAGAGAAAAAAACATACATTCTCTTATCTTCTTACGTCCTTTAAAGTATTTTCTTTCTCTATTCTTATGCAAGATAACAAGGCACATTGTAGCTGACCAGCAGAAGATATCACAATGAGTTTTAAAAACCTGTATCATCAGGTGGCAAGATTTAGAACTAAATACAGTAATATTATCATTCAGTAGAGTAAGTCATATTAATATGTAATATAAAGACTGCACAGAAGACATTTTTATCAAGCAATTATTCCATAACTTCCATATGCTCTTCCGATTTGTATTTTTTTCACACACATTTTTGAAAGTGGTGTCATTATTTCTGCACAAGATAGTCCCTATGCTTACTTGATATTCTGCTTGTAACTCTTAATGGTTCTTTTCACCCTAGCATTGTATTGTATATGGAACATATGTTAATAGTATTCTATCATCATCCTTTACACTTTTATATCACCCTTTAAAGGGTACTGTAAAACTTTACCATATGTTTAACGTGAGGAAAAATATTTCATATCTGTTTATAGTGCAGTTTTATCATGAATAACCTTGTATTTTCTTTGAAAACATTGATAATGTTGAATCCATAATACAATTGCCTTTGAATAAAAATACCTTTTTCAAAGAGTCCTTCCTCACCTTTGAAATTTTTTTAGAACTCAAAATTAATTACTTATTCATTCAAGTAATACATGGAAAAATATTTTGTATAGTGCTATAATTTTTAATTAAAAAGTCACATAGAGCTATGGATCACAGTCAATGTAAGGTCTTATGTACCTAGAACAGGACTTGTAACACATTTAAGTGCAAAATTGAAATCTCCAATCCTCCCATTCATTTACTGTCTAATTCAGGAGGTGCTTAAAGACAGCACGCTTAGGAAAAAAAGCATATAACTGGAGTACTTCAGCCCATGTTTTAGGCTGAATGAATTCTCTAAAATAAGTACAGAAGTTGGCTATAATAGTCAACAGAAAGAGATAGGTGGCCTTAATAGAATCTTACAGAGCAAGATTAGACACATGACTTAAAAAGAATGTTACAGACTCTTTCAGTTAAAAGATATGGGAGATGATGGTTCACATCTTTAATCTAAATATGCCAGTGGTAAAAGAGTTGGAAAAAAAAACATCAAAAAAGGAAAAAAAATCATTATGCATTATAACCAATCACTTTGACAAAGATGTGATGCATTATCACATTGTATGTGTCTAAGGAAAGCATTAGCCCTACTCCCACAAAGAACTACATTTTCTCATGCCTCTCCACTCTTTTTCCTTTGGGAGGTATGGGTTTATAACAGATGCCTATATTGCCTATTGCAGTGTGGACCAATGGAGTTGCATAAGGCTCAAAAGGTGTTTCACAACACAATTTCAACTATAGTTTTCTAAAATAATATAATTATTTAATAATTATATTAATTGGTTATGCTGCTATTTCTTTTTTTAACATATTCTCCCTAAAAGAGAAATTAATAGTCCGAAATAGGTTTTAAATTATTTGCATGCATTCCTTCTTACTTAAATTGAAATATGTTTTTGCAAAATGTGTAAATTGCCTTCCAGCTGTACTGATGCACAGGTTAAAACAAGAAAAAATGGAAGTCATGGGAACAGCAGCCACATCTTGATAGCCATTTAATAGTAAATGTACCCATTGACCGTACAGAAGTTACACATTCTCTTGTATGCTAGAAATTTTCTAATGCCATTTAATAGCGGAAACATAATTTTAGTACTTTTTCTTCTATACTGTCATAAATGCAAACCAGCATACGTGCCTGGCAATAAAACTCTGTACTTTAATTTGAAAATAAAACTCAATACTCTCATTTGTTCAAATATGTACTACTTCCTAACTGAACTGCTGAAGTCAGGGGGCATGGCCTTTCTCATTCCCAATGCCAAATGTTCTGTTCAGACATTGTCTTTTTGCTTTGGCCAGTAAGGCACATTTATGTCTTACTCCTGGCACTTGTTGGATTTCTAGAATGTCTATGCAATAGTATGATAAAATACAGTTTAAATTAAAATGAAAAAAAGAGTTAATAATTCTTGGTTTAGTAATTCCTATTCTTCTTCTTCTTATTATTATTATTATTACACCAAGAATTGGGGTTTTGTAATTTGTTTTGTGCTTTAACAAGTCTCAAATGCACAAAGATTTGTATCTGTGAAAACCTTCATCCAGAAAACTCATTTTAAACATTATTTCTCCCTTGTAAGTCCTTTGCATTCCAAGAAATATGCAATACTTTCAACCTCCTCTATATATTTACTTTACTAGATTTCTGAGCAATTTATGGTAATTTGCATGAACTATTATGGAACTAGAGCTTAAATTTTATGGATTCTTGTAATACTGGATTTAAATGACAACATGAGGAAATAATACAAGCGTCCCTTCCCAAGTACATGTACAAAATACATGTTCATGCTGCAGAGCAATATAGTCAAGCTGTTAGGAGAATATCTGTCTCAGAAATAATAAGAAAATAATTTGAAATTATTATTCACAGTACTAAAATCCTCACTTGGGAAGCAAGGTATTGCAGTGCTGAAGCAAACCTTTAGTCCATCTAGTGTAGTTTTTGCTTCTGGCAATGTTCAACCCTTGATGTCTAATAAGAGGGCACAGAAGAATCCAAAGGAGAAAACACTATGTTAGTCTGTCCCACTGGAAAAGTTCTTTCTAGCCTCTAGCAGTCTGTCCTGAAGCAGAATGACTGACTGACCCTTTTTTCACAGTTTTTTCATGGCTTATAACTGTAGCTCAGTTACATCTCCTCGCAGCCTTTTCTGGTTTGACTAACCTAAACCCTAAAAGTTTTGTGTAGAGCAGCATCTATTCCATCTTTCAAGATCAGTGTCAAATATATTGAACATACACTCTTCAGTGAAAACCTGTAGCACCATTAGTCTCGTGTTATGGTGGAAATAATTTATTTCAATCTATTTTGTATCTTAGCTGGTTGATTATCTATGACACCACTTCAGTTCTATACAATGACTACCCAGTTTTGTCACAGCATCCCATACGAGACTTTGTCAAAGCCTCTAAAGGTCTAAAGGAATGTTGGAAATTTTGCTTCTGTACTTGTATTTTTTAGATGAAAGTCCAAGTAAAAGCTTCACAATGGAAATTTTATATGTTACATTGTACGCTGCCCCCCGGCCCTCAAATCAGAAAAAAAAATCACATGGAGTTTAAGATAATTTCTGGCAGCATCATGAGTTCCCATAATCAATACAACTGACAGATATTAATAGGAACAATAAATCACTGCTGAGAAACAGTAGTCATAAAATAATTATGATTTATAAAAGCACATACTATTCTGACTTTAGCTACTTACACTATAGATTAGGATAAAGGTGCAGTTTTTCAGCAAAAGCTGCATTACATACATGCACACAATCAAATAAACAAAAACCAGAAAGTATTGTGAGTTCTGAAGCAAAGGTACTACCAGAAAGTTACCTTCGCATCTGGGGAAATGATAGTTCCAATTTCTGTTGATTCCATGCTGGCATGTGAGAACAGGCTGACCCCTCAAAACATACCCAGGATAGCATTCAAATGATACCGACTGACCCACACTGTAATCGGAGTTGACTATATATCCGTTCAAAAAAGGAGGAGGATCAGGGCAGTTCTGTAACTCGTAAGCTGGAAGAGAACAGAAGTACTTGTTATTGCTTAGTCAACACAGGAAGTAAACATTCATATAAATTCTGTAATACATTCCATAGTAGGAAAACACAGGAATGCCAGACTCCAGTAGTAGAGTGATTAACACTCCATTCATCCATAGGGACCATCCAGATCTTGACAAAGGAATGAAAAAATTAGCACTAGAGACAAAGCATAGGAAAGATCAAAATCTGGAATAGAATGAATTGCCATCTACATCAGAAATTTAGAAAGGAAAGTCAAAGAAACACTGGGTGCAGGGCATGAAGATGGAATATTGTTTTAGTAGTTCATGTTGAAGCTTCAAATTAGAATATTATATAAATTATGTGTTTATTTTTAGTTAAATTTCTAGGTTCATACTTAGTGCCCAAGATCTGTGATATAACAGTTGTATAATAGGATAACATTTTTTTAAGCAAGATACACAGAATTAATTTTTCTAATAAATAAGATGGATATACTTAGTAAGTATGTCACTAAGTGACTTAATTTCATGAGTACATCAAACATTTTCATAAAATTTATTTATACTCAGTTTTAATTTAAGTCTGACATAAAACCAACCTTGCTCTGACTGTAGCAACGCTGAATCCAAAAGCTGCACACAGTAATACTAATAATTTAATTGACCACACTTAACAGGTGATCACTTTTCTGCCAAGATTCTCAAGATTAAAAATTATCACAGAATTTTTCAAATGTCTTTTTCCTACCCTGATATACAAGAAATAAAACAATTAATTCCAAGTAAGAAATAGTAAAATTATTTAGGAAAAGAGATTTTTCCATGATGCCTGAAATTAAACTATATTAAAAACGCATATATATTGAATGACCGTGTTCACAGTGCGATTTCCAAAATTTGAAAATACTTTTTTTTTTTTTTAATGAATATGCAAGTATACTTATACAATTCACGGTGGCATAAGAACTTGAGACAACTTTTTTTCTGATAAAATTCATATAATGTTCTATATGTCAACTACTAGGAATGTAACCTCAACACAACAAAAAAATGGAGTTTTGCAGCACTATGAGCACTATGTAGCAAAACAAAACATTTCAAATTGAGGATAAGCATATGTATTACTATGGTGACTTATATTTATTTAACTGGCAATATTCCATTTTGTTCATTACCTGCATCAGTTAAATTGTACAATGACTTCAAAAATAAATCAGCACATAACTAATCACAGCAATTGTTTAAATGTGTTTTGATGTTTAAACACTATAGTAAGTATTCTAGTAAGGTATAATAAAGTCGTTCATTCAATAAAATTTTATGAAATACAAAATTTTCACAATCCATTGGATTTTTTTAATATATATTAAACTATGCAAAAAAAATCACCTGACCAAAAAAATTGAAAGAATTAATGAAAGATTATGAAGTCAAAGATCACCAGAAAGATCTGGAAAAGTGACAGAAATCTACCAAGGAAAAAGTTTCTTCTAGATACATCTCCATATAAAAAACTGCATTAATCATTCATCATATTTAATGTTGGGGTTTGTATTTTCAAAGACCTCAAAATACTATTCAATTAAACTTATTTAATTCATACAAAATAGTGTGATGAAAATCAGAGGGTTCTTTCATTAATAACATTTACTAAGATATGAAGATAATTTAAAACTACATGTTTCCATATTGAAGATATATTTCCTTAGAATATTTAAGTGATATTGTTCCATGAGAAGAAAAAAAGAAAGACAGTTTTATAAAAATGTTATGCAGATTCACTCACAAACAACTTCACATAGATAAGATAGCAAGTGACAGCCATTTAAGAAATAATTATTGAGAAGATGAATGCTCTGCTTTCTCTGAGCATTCCATTTACAGTTATGAAATACTTCTGTCAGAAGAAAGTTCAAGTAAGAGCAGTAATATCAGTGTGCTTTATATTAACATGTGCCATTAAGTCCAAGCTCTAAAAATACAGTAAGAGAGATGAAGAACATATTCTTGAACAAAACATTTTGTTATTTTTTCAAAGCTAATCATTACAACATGGACATGTTCATCCCAGAAGTATATACTTATTATTATCAATTAGATTATTTAAACAAGCCATTTCAGCAAGATTGAGGTAAATATCTAACTTAGGTGTGCTTAAGTGCTTACTTAAAGCGAAGTTTGTACTTAATTGCTTCACTGAAGTACAGCTACTGTCATGAGTTTTTTTAGTCATTGCTGATTACAGTCATGTTATGAAAAAAATAGAAGATTGATTTTGAGAAAGCTGCTTTCTTTTCCCGAATTCATTCAGTGAATCCAGAATCCAGTGTTTGTAACATTACAAAGCTGGAAGAGGTGTGGAGGTACCAGAAATATTCCAAAATCCTCTAATAACTGAGACTCACCTTCCCCCAAATAACAAAAAATTAAGAAAATTAAAACTTAACAATCAGAATTAATTGTTACTAGAAAGGAAATACAAAAAGCTTTATTCTACCTTAATTATGGTTCATTAAAATTTTGTGCTAAATCTAGTCATAGCTTATTAATTTTTAATGCTATTATTATTCCTCCTATCATTATTCATATAATACTTTACAGATAATAATATTATCAACACTTTTATACAAAACAGAGTACTAGAAAGATTATTTAAGGGTACAGGACATATTAAGACTACTAAATTAAATAAAAAGCTACTTAACAAATTATATTAGAAGTACAACAGAAGTTTATTCTGGAGGATCAGAGGATCTCACAGATTTATTTGACAAGGTGCAGCACTACATTGCCCAATAGTTACCATGACAGTGTTTTGGAACAATGACAATACGTATTGAAACTTTTAAACTTTGATTTTAAACAACCTTTTGAGGACAAGAATACACATGAAAAATATCCTTCCTTATTGGTTAATTTGTTGCAGTACAGTATTCATAGGTTACATTTTAAATGTACTTAATATGGTCTCGGATTTTTTAAGTTAGTCTTGAAAATTCATTTCAGAAAAAAGCTTCTCTCACTGATCTACATAAGAAAACATAGGAACAGCTCATGTGAAAGAGGAAATCCTGAAAGAACTTCACCATCTCTCCCTCTAATTTGCACAACATCCTTTCAAGTCCCTTGGATTGTTAATGGAAAAAATAAAGCCTACCTTTTAAAATTCTACTTAGTGTTTATTCAGAGTTGCATATGTTTTTTTCCTATTGGAAGAAAGGTAAACAAAACACACAGAGAAACTTCTGGGGTTAGTTCTGGTATTTTTTTTTTAGTAAGCATAGAACCTCTGCCTAAAGCAGATCACCATAAATTTGAAGGTCAGTCAGTCAGGGGTGAAAGCATTTGTTCATGAGCAGAGCACAGTTGTTTTGGGGGTTTGGGGTTTTTTTTGTTGTTTTTTTAAAAAGATGTAAAATGTGAAGATACTCTCTGTATGTGACTTCTGGTATAAATCCTATAGATGACTTATAAATTATTGGAGTAACTATAAGTCAGGTGATCCATCTGACTCCGATATCATGATTTACAGGCCATTCAGGGAATATATTTTATGGTTTTAATATAAATATGAATTATATTCTTCTTGGTTCTCTTGATATATGCAACAACTATACCTGATTTAACAGAGCAATTCATTATTCAGTCATCACTATCAAATATTACCCACAAATCCTGATGTCACATCTCACAAAAGAAAGCTTTTTTATGAGTGTCATGCCCAAAGACTTGTTTGGTATTGAGCTTTAAAAAATGATATACCATTTCACAGCAGAAAAAACTCTAGTGAGAGCCTGAAATGAAGCCCAAAGTAAAGGAAATCTGAGAAAAAGATTTAATTCCAATGCTGGCAGCAGTCAAATACTTAAATTTTAAAATGCTCTCGTATTGACATTCGGCATTTCTTTGTGCAGTGTATTTTCCACTGGTAAGAAAAGAGAGTAAAGCACAAAAGAAATAAAATTGATCCTCTGCTATCTTGTTTTTATGATTCAAATGTATTTTACTTCTTATATTAACACGAGGGTGACTTGTTGCCTTTGCAAGTGCCACATACATCTATAACACCTCAATATGGAAATAATTACAGAAAAATTGTATTAGCAGATTGTTGAGCATGCAAACACTCAAATGTTAGGAAAGCTCACAATTAAGGCTACTTAAAACTTTCATTTAGTCTTATTGTACATTCCTCCAGTATCATGCTGTGTATAACTACAGACTCAAAACCAAAATCCACTTCTTAGGCTAGACTAGACTAGACTACTGTGGGTTGGGTTAGGTTGGGTTGGAAGGGACCTTTAAACCCTTAAAGATGATCTAGTTCCAACCCCCCTGCCATGGGCAGGGACAAATTTCACTAGAGCTGGTTGCTCAAAGCCCCATCCAACCTGGCCTTTAACACTTCCAGGGATGGGGCATCCACAACTTCGCTGGGCAACCTGTTCCAGTGCCTCACCACCCTCATCTTAAAGTATTTCTTCCTTATGTCTAATTTAAATCTACTCTCTTTCGGTTTAAAACTGTTGCCCATTGTTTTGTCATTAAAGGCCTTGGTAAAAAGTCTCTCTCCATCTTCCTTACAAGATCATTTTAAGTACTAAAAGGCCACAATAAGGACTCCCTGGAGCCTTCTCTTCTCCAGGCTGAACAACTCCAGCTCTCTTGGCCTGTCTTCATAGGAGAGGTGCTCCAGCCCTCTGATCATCTTCTTGGCCCTCCTCTGGACTCGCTCCAACAGGTCCATGTCCTTCTTATGTTGGGGGCCCCAGAGCTGAACACACTACTCCAGGTGAGGTCTGAGGAGAGCAAAGTAGAGGGGGAGAATCACCTCCCTCAACCTGCTGGCCATGCTTCTTTTTATGGAAGCCCAGGACATGATTTGCTGCAGCCCAGGATAGGGCTGGCAATCTGGAACATCAGTTTATTGCCTTAAGCACCAAAGAACATAATTTTTCCAGATGCCATGACTCAGGATTAGTCTCACAAAACATCACTTAATTTTGTC